CTTTTGACGTCCATTTGATAAACCTTAAAGCCTCTATGAGCTGCATAAGCAAGAAAGATTCTTATGGCTTCAAGACGGGAAACAGGAGCAAAGGTCTCATCATAATCAAGTCCTTTAATCTGAGTGAATCCTTTGGCCACCAGTCTTGCTTTGTTTCAGATGATAACTCCAGGTTCGTCTAACTTGTTTCGGAACACCCATATCGTACAAACAATGGGATGATCTTGAGGAGGAGGAACAAGAGTCCACACTTCATTTCGATCAAATTCTGCCAACTCTTCCTGCATGGCTATAATCCAGTCAGCATGTTATAATGCTTCCTTGATGGATTTGGGTTCAACCGTTGAGATAAATGCCAAAAAATAACATTCGTTTTTAATATTGGTGGCAGAACAAGTTTGAACACCAGCGTTTAGATTTCCAATAACTTGGTTCAGAGGATGATCCATGGTCTAGACGTGTAGTCTTGGAAGCTCTTGTGCAATAGAAGATCTGACATCAATGATGGGGTTGTGTTGCTCCCCCTGAATAGTTTGAACTTGAGGATGATGCTCCCCCTGAACTTCTGAACCAGACAAATTAACGTCATCATCAGGTGGGAAATCAAAGAAGTTGGCATCATCGTCGTTGTTGATTGGAGTGGGATCGAATTCAACAAATTGATCAACTGCATCTTGGATTCCATCCACATTTGATTCAAGGGAAGGTTGACCATTCTCCCCCTTAACCTAAGAAGGTTAAAATGGTTCAAAATCAAATGGTAGGAAAATTGGTGTCGGACCAGAAACATTTTGTGAAATTGGAGCTACAGTTGATGAGGATCGTCTTGTTCGAGATTCTGAATCAAGAGTTGTTTCTGATGGTCCGAACAGGGTTTCAAAGTCAACTTCATGGATAATTTGGGGATTCGGACATCCTGGGGATAGAGCATCAGACTCCATAATGTGGGTCGTGACATAGGTTGGACCAGAATTCCGAACATAGTTGTCAGCAAAGGTGACATCAAAGCTTTCTTCAAGAACTCAATTTCGACGATTCAAAACTGGATAAGCTTTTGATTTTGCTGAGTATCCAAGAAAGATTGCTTCATCAGCTTTGGGTTGGAACTTTGTGAGTTGATCAAGGTTGTTTTTGATAAAGCACCGGCAACCGAAGACATGTAAAAAGGAGATACTCGGATTACGACCATTCATGGCTTTGTATGGTGTCATATTGAGGCGTTGATTAATAGTGCTCCGATTCTGAGTGAAGCAGGCTTTTTACACGGCTTCTGCCTAGATAGAGTGGAAGATTTGCAAAGTTAAGCATCGATCGAGCAGCTTCAATTAGAGTTTTGTTTCATCTTTCGAAAACACCGTTTTGTTGTGGAGTGTAGGGAGCTGAGAAATTGTGGTCAATACCTTTCTCGAAGAGGAATTTCTCAATATTGGCATTGGTAAATTCCGAACCATTATCACTTCGGATTCGTCGCACATGTAGTTTGACGAAAACTTCAATTCCTTTATAAAGTTGATAAGTTCCGAGGTTGTCTCAGATTTTAGCCTAAGGAAGAAAACCTAGGTGAACCTTGTAAAATCATCCATAATCACAAGAATGTACTTTTTGTGATGTATACTTTCTATAGTTGAAGGTCCACAAAGATCAATATGCAGAAGTTCTAACGGCTCCGAAATAGATTTTTCAATAATGACTGGATGACCCTTCTTGGATTGCTTCCCACATTCGCACGCAACACACAAATGATCATTTTCGAACTTGAGGAGTTGCAAACCTCTCACCATTTCACCAGAAACAAGATCATTCATATATCCGAAATTTAGATGACTAAGCCTTCGATGTCATAACCAACTGACGTCAGGACCGGCCTTTGAGAGTAGAAAGAGTTGAGGCTTGCCAATTATCATGTTGATATCAAGTGGATACATGTTCTTGTTGTGATTAGACTTGATCAGACATTCTTTCCGGTCTTCTTACATGACATAGTTGTGTTTCTTGCAAAATTCAACTCAACGATTCGCATCAGTGAGTTGAGCTACACTTATCAGATTGTGCTTCAGGTCAGCTACGTTTGCCACATTTGTAATGGAAAAATTGCCATTGGTGATGCCATCACCTCGGATCTGAGAGTTGGAGTTTTTGCCATACGTCATATAACCAGCATTTGGTGAAAGTTTGAGATCACGCATAAAATCCTTCTGCCCCGTCACGTACATGGAACAAGCACTATCAATATACCATATTGTTTCTTGTTCTGAAGTATAGAGTGCCTACAAAAATTAGTGAAATTTGGAGTTTTTAGGCTCCGAGTTAGGTTGTGGGACATGGTCACGGGCTTTGGACTTTGGTTGTGACTTTTGAGCAACAGATGTCTCGGAGGGTTTGTTCCGAGATCTTTTTGGAAACAAACAGAAAGCCATGTTTCATTGATCCAGAAATCATATTCAATAACAGGTTGTTTTGGAACAACTTTTCTCGGACCAACAACTTTTGAAACAGTGGGAATCACAGTGTCTCTTGGAGTTGCAGTTTTATTTCTGATATTTTTAACTCTCCATTCAAATTTTTGTTTTGAATCATTTGAATATTTTTGAGAAACATTTTCTTAACAACTCTCTTTTTATATTGTTTTGAAAGCTGTTGTGGTTTGAAAATCGTACCATCAGATTTAACTATAAAAACAGATGAAACATTCTGAGGAGAGTTAGTTCTGACAGATTGAGTATCAACAGTAGGCTTTTTCAGAGTGGGATTGACAACATTGTTGTGTTCTATCGGACTAGGAGGATTGGATGGCCTTTTAAGAATCTTAACGGGCACAAAGGTGCTATGACTCCTAATGGATGAGCTAACTGTTCGAGATAATTTCTTTTTAGAATTCTTAATGAATTTGGAATTTTGTCTTGACCTAATTTCCTTTTGGGGGCATTATTGGCTTCTATCTTAGGATTGACAACATCTTTCCTATTTAACGATGGTTTCTTCCTAGACTTGGAGGATGACTTAGAAGATTGACCAACAAATGGGTTGGAAAACGTAGGCTTGATTGGCACAAGAGTTGTTTTTGAAATCACTTTAGAGTTTGAAACACAAGATTCAGATGAAACATCACACAAAACTTCTTCATCAACGTTACTATCTAAAGATGCCCAAGCAAAATCTGATGTAGCATGTCCAGTTGACTCCGAAATAATTTCCTCAACAACACAGTTGTTAGGAGGAGTGTGGTTTGGAATTTGAACTACAGTGTTGGGAATGCTAGGGAAAGATTACGAGGTCCGATTCAGGTCCAAGGGTATCAGAGGCGGAATGGGCATGGAATCAGGACACTTGACAACTATTGGTTGAAACTCAGGAATCAGATATGAAAATTGGTCTGAAGTCTTAGGAAGGGCTGACAATGGCGAGATAGGGGTATACGAATGTTGGTGGTTGAGAATGTCTCCCATAAAAGTTAGATATTGTAACTCCTTCAAGGGACGAGCAATAGGTTTTGGAAACTCGCTTCCGAGACCATGTGCTTTAGACCAAGGATGATGAAAATTATGAGTCATCCGTTCATTTGCTTCAAAAATGTCTATGGAATTATGTAAAACATCTATTTTGGCATTGAGACGTTTGTTATCAGAAATTAAGACATTTCTTTCAGAATAAGTGATTTCACATTTGTCCTTGAGAATGATACATTCATCTTTTGACATTAAAAGTTCACGTTCTAAAGACTCTATTTTAAGCTTCCTATCCTCGAAACTTAATCTAAGACGACTTAATTCACTTTCCATCGCCTCACTCGCTTCAATCGCAGACTCATAGGCTTTATAAATGATGTTTATATCTGATTGGATCTGACTTAGATATGGTTCACAGATTGATAAATTAAAATTATTGTCACTAATCATAGATTTTACGTGTTGAACGATGCTTCTGCCGAGTGGATCGTTGGTCGCCATGTAGTCGTAGTTCGGTTCAGCATCATCATCATCTTCCTCTGATCCGGATGACCAGTAGCCTTCATCCCATTCAATTGTCTGTCTTGCCATAAGACACATGTTTTTACCAATTCTCACATCATCTTCATCTCCAAATGACCAATATCCCTCCACATCTCTAGACACAGTGGTGACAAATGCTTTTTCACTTGTAGCTATCTCCTGGGATTTACGTGCATAGTATGTCGAATCCTTAATCTTTGGTTTATGTAGTACTTCAGCCAAACAATCTTTGGCAAAATGATTTTCATGACCACACTTGTGACAAAAAAAATTTCTTTATCTGTCTTCGGAATCTCTCCGTATCCCGAGGGGTGACTTGGTGTAGAGATGTTGGGTTTATATGCTGGTGGGTTCTCTGAAGGTTTGTTAAATGGTTGATGGTTTTTTGGTGTGGGGCTTGGAAATGGTTGTGATATGGTTTGTGAGTGGGATTGAAGGGACGTTTGTATTTCATGGAGAGTAAAGCAAACTCTTTTTGAAAGCGAAGTTCGGAGTCCATAGATTCAGGGTCGAGGTCACCATCAAAATGATAGTTAGAACTGGCATGAATAGGTAAAGTTGGTTGAGAGGGTTGAGCAGGTGGGATAGGTGGAATAACAACCTTGAAAGGGTCCGAAGCAGAGGGGTTCGAGACATGAGGATCGAAAGAACTAACAAAAGCTAGAGGACCTCTTGAGAGTTCCCTCAAAGTTTGTGCAACATTTGACTCATGATCTTGAAGCTCATCAAACAGCTGGTAACGCTTCAGCTTCTTCAGAGATCCATTGCTCTAAAGACACGACTTAACATTTCCCCATTCTTTACCAAGACTATTAATTTATGTAATCATATGTGATAACCAATATAATATATTTTGTTATGTGAATATAATCACATGTGATTATAACGTATGTAATGACATGTGATTATTACATATTTAATCATATAATTTTATAGTCATATGTAACTTAGAAATATATTCTTATATTTACGTTCTCTAACACTGTTTTGTTCTTCACCAGTAATTCGTTTTCATTTCTCAACATTCATTCCATCTAGATTCTTCCCCTCCACGCCTGAATATAATTAAAAAAAAACTATTAATATTATAATCAGATGTGATTTTAATATATGTAATCACAAAGATTACAATGTATGTAATCACATATGATTATAGCGTATTTAATCAAATTTGATTGTACAAAGGTATTATAATGTTATGTGAATAATAATCACATGTGATTACAAGACATGTAATCATATGTGATTATTATATATGTACAAATATATTATATATGATTATTACATATGTAATCATATGTGATTATTACATATGTAATCATATGTGATTAACAAAATATTATTTTATAGTCATATTTATTTTACAAATATACCAGTTATTCCTTCTCCTTTCTTAGCATTCTTCCCTTCTATATTATTCCCCTCCACACCTGAATACAATTAAACAAAATTATTAATAATTTGAAAATGTAATCACATGTGATTATAATATATGTAATCATATTTACCTTCTCTAACTGTCTGTGGTTCTTCACCAATAATTCATTTTCCTTTATCAGCATTCATTCCTTCTAGATTCTTTCCCTCCACACTTGAATATAATTAAAAAAATATTAATATTATAATCAAATGTGATTTTAATATATGTAATCATAAACGATTACAATGTATATAACCACATATGATTATAGCGTATTTAATCAAATTTGATTATACATTAAGTAATTAAATCTGATTTACCTTCTTCAACTATATGTGTTTCTTCACTAGTTCTTCCTTCTCCTTTGTTAGCATTCTTCCCTTCTATATTCTTCTCCTCCACACCTGAATACAATTAAAAAAAATTATTAATAATTTGTGAATGTAATCACATGTGATTATAATATATGTAATCATATTTACCTTCTCTAACTGTATGTGGTTCTTCAGCAGTAATTCCTTTTCCTTTCTCAGCATTCAATCCTTCAAGATTCTTCCCCTCCACACCTGTAATCACATTTGATTATAATATATGTAATTATATACACTTTATTAATCTATATTTGTTTACCTCTTCCTCCAGCATTTTGTTTTTCTTCATTATCACCACCTTTTTCATTTTGAACACCTTCATCATGTAAATTCATGTCATCCAAACCTTGATCATTATTATCAGTTTCATCTTCCTCACCATCTTTATTTTTACCTGCTATTTCAATATTTTCACCTCCTTCATCTTTATTTTTTCCTTTCTTTTCCTCTCCTCCTTTAACATTCTCATTTTTTTCTCCGATAACTGCATATAATTTAAGATACGTATTTAATCATCTATGATTTTATAGAGATTTTTTTCCAATACACTTACATCCTTCAATATTTTCCCCTCCTACATTCTGTTTCTTTGATTCATCATTATCATCTCCATTTTCATCTTCATCATCATCAATATTGTTATCTTAAACATCATCATTCCCATTTTTTCTTGATTATCTTCATTCTTATCTTTAAAAATTGCATCAAAGCTAATTTTCAAATGATTCAAGGTTATATTTTTTGGGAATTTATTTATTCCATCTTCAATCAGCATATCTAACTTCCTATACTGAATCATAACCACTTCCTCATAAGCCTACATAATAAATCAATTAAAAATATATATTTTGAAACATGTAAGATATTAGTAAATAACGATGAGTTTTCATATAATTATTGCAATTAAATTTACCTCCTCATTCAATTCTTCCTCAACAAACTCATCGTTAAAATCCTATGTTCCAATATCACCAAGCTCATCCTTTTCAAAAGTTTCTCTCATCTTTATCTTCTCTGAAGTCCAGTGGCAGATCACTAGACGTGTTCTTTCAACCTTAAGTACATCAGATTTGATTCTGTCTAGATAAGGCAACTGAAAAAAATATTATATATCACATGTGATTTAATATAGTTATTCATGTTTTAATTTTGTAACAAATTCTATTAATCATATATGATTTTACAATCATATGTGACATTTAAATCACATGTGATTATAACTACTCATGTTAGAACATATGTTATAAATAAATAAAAATCATGTGTGATTTTAAAGATATTTAAATAGAATAAAACATATTAAACGTACCACCAAATAAGCACATGGTCCATTAAAATTGCTTGTTGGATTGGATGGATCAAAAGAATGTTTGTTTTTAACCAAACAGTCTATCAGATAAGAACACCAGTCGATGTTGCTTATTTTTGTCTTGCTTGTTATGTAGTTCAATGGGTTGGTGTTTGCTTTTCCTGAAGAGCTTGATTCTATCAGCGAATTGATCAACAAAGCTATGAAATTCATCCTAAAATTCATATCCGCCTTGTTGGTGGAAACAATCTTCATCTTTATATCTTAAAGTCGAATCATCTTCTTGTCTTCAAACTGGTTTGTCCATTCTTCATAACATTTATCTTCTTTTGTTCTGAATGGAATTTTTGAAAACTGTTTTCTTCCCAAAGGAAATCCAAGAATTTCTTTCACCGATTCTTTGGTGACATCAATCACTCCTTTTTCAAGAACTATCTTCTTTGTCTCTAAGTTAAAATTGTTAAGAACAAAGCAACTTAAGGCACCTGGGACCTCTGTCATCTTCATGTTTAATATCCCGGCAAAACCCATCTGTCTCACACAATCTTTTTGTACTTCATTGAAGCCTTGTATAATGGATAAAAAAGCTCCAAGTGTACACCTATCATCAAATATATCAATTAATGAATTTAATTCATATGTTATAATAAGAATTAATGAAGTTATTATACATGTTTTATAATTTCATCACATGTGTGTTAACTGAAAAAGACATGAAATATGTTTTGAATAATCACAAGTGATTGATTTTTGAGTCATATATGATTTAATAAATTTTTGTATAATCACATGTGATTGATTTTTTTGTATATAAAAGATATTAATGACATGTTGATTCATTTTTTGAATCATATATGATTAATGAAATTATTTAAGAATCAGAAATGATTAATTTTTGAATCATCTATGATTTAATAAATTATTATTTCCGTATATAAAAGATATTAATAAGATGTGATTTAATAAAGTTATTATGAATGCACACATGATTTAATAAAATTATTTTTTTGTATAAAGTTGTTAATCACAAAGTTATACATGTTTCTGATTGTATCAAAATGCTTCTTCACTATCTTCTTCTTTCTTTTCTTTATTTCTTTTGTTTCAGAATCGGAATCTTCTTCATTTTTATCAAGTAGTTGATCTTTTGTTTTTGAAGCTATGGCTTTTCGCTTTCTTGACTCAGTTTTTTTTTCAGCTGTTATGAAAATAATAATCATATATTAAAACATTTATAATTGACAAACAAGTTTTAATAATGAAGTAATAATTAATAGTTATGTAATTTTAAATACATATTATAATCATATGTGATTGAATTATATATTTGTCGTGTTTTAACTTAGACCTTCTTTCTGTTGTCACTTCTTCATTTGATCTTTTTCCTTTTCCTTTAGAGAGACAAATGTTAAAAAAAAGAATAAATTATTATGAATATATATTTAATCAGATGTGATTGAACATATTGTTATTAATATATGTTAATCACATGTGATTGAATATATTTTTTGTAATATAAATAATGGTAATCACATTTGATTATATAAGATCATAATCATATGTGATTTAAATATACCTTTTTTGTCTATTGTTGCTTCCTTTTCTTCTGTAAATAGTACAATAGTTGTAATCAAATTCATATTTGCAAACATATCAATAATAAATAACTATAAATATAGATATAAATTACAATCAATAAAACAATGTTATTATACATTTGTCGTGTTTTTGTTTGGACCTCTTTTCTGTTGTATCTTCTTCAGTCACTCCTTTTTCTTTTCTTTTAGTTTTTCCCGAAACATATAAATATAGACATAAATCACAATCGATAAAACAATATTATTATTATAAAGCTTAAAGTGTTATTGATTGATGTTAATCACATGTTATTTATTAATTATGTTTTTTTACATATAAAAGTGGGTAATCACATTTAATTAAGCACATAGTGTGTTATGTTTAGGTGTATAATCGTATGTGGTTGAGTAATACCTTTCTCATTTTTTTCTTCTGTTGTTCTCTCTATTTTTTCTTTTACACTGTCCTTTTTTCCCTTTTTTTCCTTTTGTTTTGGATTTTCTGAGATATAAAAATACATATATAATCAGAAAATGATAAAGTCAATTTTAATCAGATGTGATTAAATATACCGTTTTCAACTTTCTTTCTAGGTGATTTTCTTGGTGTTTTTGTTTCCGTAGGTTGTTTCTTTGTAGGTTTTTCCTTGTTTTGTTCTGAAAAAAATATAGATATAACTAGAAAATCATATTTGATTATACACATAAAATTAATGAATCAAAACAGATTTTTGAATGTTTTAAGTGTTACCATTTTGATTTGTTTGTTTCTTTTGTAAATTTTTTAGTAGTAGTCTCTTTATTGGTTTTTGAGATGTACAAATACACGTGTTATCAGAAAATCATATATGATTATTTCAAGTCATGACATATAAATAATAAATTGTTCATATAGATTGTGATCACATGTGATTCAATCTTTGTTATATGTATAAATTCATTATAAGTTCAAGATCATCAACAAATCATATATTTGAACACAGTCGTTGCCATGTAAGATTGTTCATAACATATCACATGTGATTGAATATGTTTTTGATATATATGTAAGATGATAATCACATGTGATTAAAACATAATATGTTTTTTTATGACAATAATAACATGTGATTAATGAATAAAACTTGTTTTTCTAATCATATGTGATTTTAATCATATATTATTAAAACTATTATGAGTATAAAAGGTGTAAATGACATATGAATTCAATCAAATGAATTCGAGATTGAACACAGTCATAATAAATAAAAATTCATATGATTTTGAATGTAAATCACATATTATTTCTATCATATGTTACTAATACAAATATTATCAGAAAATCATATATGAGTAAACATCACAAAATCATATATGATTAAAGGCTGTCAAATATATTAATATAACACAATGTTAATCATATATGATTTAGAACTTAATATTACCTTTATCGATTGTTTTTTTATGACTTTTTTTTCTTTTGTATGTTTGTTCATATGATTTTGGTTTTTCTGCATGTTTAAAGCGAGAATATTATCGTCGTAATCAGTAGATAAACAAAATAAATAGTCATTAATAAAAAATAGAGCATAAAAAAACCCTATATAACAGATAAAATCCACTATTATTCAACTTTATTAGGTGAATAGTTAGTATATAATCATAAATTATCAATCGATATCTTCATAATCAATAGATAACACACGTAAATGAAAATAGAGTATAAAATTAAAAAAACCTACATAAAATACTCGATAACATTTAAAATCTAGTTATATGAACTAAAATATTTCAGTAACTGTTTATATTTCGAAAACAGATAACGTCATGTTAAATACATTGTTGTAAGTTCAAAACAAAATCAAGGAATGCGTTGATTTTTACCTTTTTCTGAATCAGTTATTTTCGCGAAACCAGTCCTCGATTTTGATGACATTTTTGTTCTCTGGAAATCAATCATCGATTTTGATGATTATCGGCGAAGATTTAGGGTTTTTTCGACTGTTTTTGCGAGGGTTTTCTTCCCAGAAAAGTAGAGATAAGTAGAGAGAGAAGTTATGGGGAACGAAATGAGGGGGAAGGAGTAGTTATATGACGAAGGATTCAGTTTCGTTTTGCATTTACGATATTGCCCCAACATTCCAAACTTCTCCAAATTGCCCCTAATAAGAATAGTTTTCTTTTTCCGTCTTTATTTTTTGGGCTAATACAATTGCTTTATTTGACTTAATATCTAAAGCCCATTCAGCCTATGCGGAGCATAGACTTCTCCTAGTTAAAGTGTAATTTTTGTGTATGCATATATTACACATGATAATCTAAGTATTATTTTTATAATGTGAACTTATTTAATCATATGTGATGTTTATTTTTGTGTATGCATATATTGCACATGATAATCACATGTGATTATTTACAATATTTTATTTGATACATATAATCATAGGTGGTTGAAGTATAAACCATATAATGATCATATATGATTATTTTTTTAATCACATGTGTTTATATTAATTTTTATATGTTTAATCATATATTATACTATTGTATTTTTTTCTTTTATATTTATAATCATATGTGTTTATATTAATGCTTATATGTTTAATCACATATTATAATATTGTATTTTTTTTTCTAATCACATGTGTTTATATTAATGTTGATATGTTTAATCACATATTATACTTTTGTATTTTTTTTGCTTTTATATTTATAATCATATGTGATTGAGTATTCAAATTATGTTTATGTTTGTAATCATATGTTAATTATTTGTAAATGGTTATTAATCATATGTGATTTAAAAAATGTTTATAATCACATGTGATTATATATATATATATATATATATATATATATATATATATATATATATATAATCACATGTGATTATCGATATCACATCTTAGTGTACAAAGAACAAGGCATTTTATAACTGTTAGAAATATCAAAGTCATATGTGATTTAAAATGAAACATTGAAGTAGTAAACTACTTATCCATATTAAGCTTCACATATCCATGATATCATATATATGTTCAAACATTTATCTAATTAAACCTAATCATTTTCTTAATAAAGTAGGAAGCATTCATCTAATTAAAAAGTAAACATTGTCTAAATAAATCAACAATCAAATTATGCATTGATAGACAGTCCTTCAAACTTCACCATTTCCATCTTAACCTTCACATGAAACCTGTTCCCACAATAACACTATTCTCTAAGTCTTTAACATTATTTTCATTATCTTCATCATCATCATCATCATCATCATCATCATCATCATCATCATCATCATCATCATCATCATCATCTTCATTATCATTATCTTCATCATCATCATCATCATCATCATCATCATTATTTCCGTTGTCTTCTTCGGCATTTTGATCTTCATCATTAAAAAATTCACCGATCATACTTTTCAAATGATGGAATCTTACACTTGTTGGGAAGTTATTGATTCCATTTTCAATCAAAAAATTGAACTTCCTAATCTTCATCAAAATCATTTGTTCATAATCCTAAATCGGAAATAATTTAAATTTTATATTAGCAATATATATTATTAAACATTAAGACTATTAAATAATGAGAAGTTTTTATTTGTATAACTGCTATAATTAGTTTTACCTCCTTATTGATATCTTCTTCTACAAACTCTGCATTTAAATGTCATGTACCAAATTTCTTCAGGATTTCTTTTTCGTAAATTTCTCTAAGCTTCATTTTCTCTGATGTCCAATGACAAATAACTGGTCGTTTTCTCTCAGCATTAACTACACTGCAATGGACTCTATCTACATAAAGCAACTGAAAAAAAAATATTTGTTATTATAATCATATAAGATTAATTTATTTTTCTTTTATATAACATGTGATTATAATTATTTTAAAAGTTAACTTATTCAGATGTGATTAAATTATTATGTCTTTACAACCATATGTGATTTAAAACATTTTACTATTAAACCACATGTAATTATAAATGTTATTAAATAAAAGAGAAGTTATTAAACATACCACTAAAAAAGCAGATGGTCCAACAAAATTGCTTGTTGGATTGGATGGATCAAAACATCGTTTTGTCTTCATGATATAGTTCAAGGGATATGTGTTTGCTTTTCTGGATGAGCTTGATTCTATAAGAGAGTTGATCAACAAAGCAATGAAGTTCATCTGGAAGTTCATATCTGCATTGTATGAGGCGACAATATTCATCTTAATCTCGTGTAGTCTGATCATTTTTTTGTTTTCAAATTGTTCAGTCCATTCGTCATAACTTTTATCTTTTTCTTTTCGAAATGGAAGTTTTGAAAACTTTTTTTCCCAAAGGAAATCCTAGCATTTGATTCACTGATTCTCGTGTCACATCGATCTCAACTCCCTCTCGAAGAATAATTTTCATTTTTGTTGGATCAAATTTCTTAACAACTTGCCCCGGGGAATTCAGTCATTTTCATCTTTAGTAGAGCACCAAATCCCATTTGTTTCACACAATCTTTTTGAAGTATTTAAACCTTGGATGATTGATAGCAACGCTCCAGGTGAGCACCAATTATCAAATGCAACAATTAATAAATTTAATTATATTTGATTTATAACAAATTAATAAAAAAGTTTTCAATTCATATATGATTTTATTCATATATAAGTAAAATTATATGTGATTGATTAATCCGATATGATTTTAATCACAGTTGATTTAACTTAAAAACACAAAAAATATAATCTCAAGTGATTGATTTCTTTTGTGTATATAAAAGATAGTAATCACATGTGATTATTCCTGTCTTTATTATGTTTATCTGTATAATCATATGTGATTCATTGCCAATAGTTGTTTTTTTAAATGACATGTTACTTTATTCATATATGTATATATGTTAATCATATTTGATTTAAAACAGATTGTTATTAACAAAGTTATACCTGTTTCTTATTGTATCAAAATGTTTATTTACACTCTTCTTCTTTCTTTTTTTTTAATGTGTTTTGTTTCAGAAACTGAATCTTCAGCTTTTTTTATTCTTTTTTCTTCTCTGGTCATGTAAAAGATTTTATGAAGTCATAATAAGTAAATAAAAAATGATTAAACAAATAGTTAATAAATAAGCATATATTTTTCAATACTAATAAAGCATACAATATTTATAATAAAAGATATTGATTTATGATTGGTTTATGTTAATCACATGTTATTAACAATCCCATAATATTCTTTAATCGCATGTGATTAGCATCGCTAATACACACAATGGAATCCAATCACAAGTGAGTATCATATGTATTTTTCAGCTGTCTTTCTTGGTGATTTTCTTGGTTGTTTCTCTTTAGGAACTTCTATGTTTTCTTTTGAAATTATATAAATTCAAACATAATTAAAAACCATATATGATTAAAATAAAAGCGTAAGGTGTTCATAACATATTTTAATCCCACGTGATTGAATCTTTTTTGTCTATTTAGTAAAAATCACATTTGATTAAAACAAGTCATGATAAAAAAAACCTATAATATTTATAATAAAATATATTCATTTATGATTAGATTTGCTTGTGTGTATTAGAGTTTCTAATCACATGTCATTAAATCAGATTTTAGGATGTTTATGTATATAATCATATGTTAATCAAATGTGATTAGCATCTCTAATACACACAATGGAATCCAATCACAAGTGAGTATCATATGTCTTTTATGAATTATTTTGGATTATTGATATATATTAATATATATATAATCAATTGTGATTGACATATACCTTTTTCAGTTGTCTTTCTTGGTGATTTTCTTGGTTGTTTCTCTTTAGGAACTTCTAAGTTTTGTTTTGAAATTATATATATTCAAACATAATTAGGAAACCATATATGATTAAAACAAAAGCATAAGGTGTTCATAACAGATTTTAATTTCATGTGATTGAATCTCTTTTGTCTATTTAATAAAAATCACATATGATTAAACAAAGTCATGATAAATAAAGCATACAAAATTTATAATAAAAGATATTAATTTATGATTGGATTTGCTTGTGTGTATTAGAGTTGCTAATCACATGTCATTAAATCATATTTTAGGATGTTTATGTATATAATCATATGTTAATCAAATATGATTAACAATCCTAAAATATTGCTTAATCACAAGTGAGTATCATATGTCTTTTATGAATCATTTTGGATTATTGATATATATAATCATTTGTGATTGAAATATACCTTTTTCAGCTGTCTTTCTTGTTGATTTTCTTGGTTGTTTCTCTTTAGGTGCTTCTTTATTTTGTTTTGAAATTATATAAATTCACACATAATTAGAAAACCAGATATGATTAAAACAAAAGCATAAGGTGTTCATAACAGATTTTAATCCCATGTGATTGAATCTCTTTTTTCTATTTAATAAAAATCACATATGATTAAAACAAGTAATCATAAATAAAGAATACAATATTTATAATAAAAGATATTCATTTATGATTGTATTTTCTTGTGTGTATTAGAGTTGCTAATCATATGTCATTAAATCAGATTTTAGGATGTTTATGTATATAATCATATGCTAATCAAATGTGATTGACAATCCTAAAATATTGTTTAATCACAAGTGAGTATCATATGTCTTTTTTGAATAATTTTGGATTATTGATATATATATATATATATATATATATATATATATATATATATATATAATCATTTGTGATTGAAATATACCTTTTCAGATGTCTTTCTTGTTGATTTTCTTGGTTGTTTCTCTTTAGGCACTTCTATGTTTTGTTCTGAAATTATATAAATTGCAACAAAACTTGAAAATCATATATGTGATTGAATATCTGTTGTATATATAATAAAATCAGATAGGTTGTTTATGTATATAATCGTATGTTAATCATATGTGATTAACATATGTTTATGTGTATAAAAAAGAGTGTGTTATGTTTATGTGTATAATCATATTTGATTAAATTATACATTTCTCAAATTTTTTCTGTTATTCTCTCTATTTCTACTGCTTTACTCTTTTTTTCCCTTTCCTCCTTTTGTTTAGGTTTTTCCGAGATATAAAAATACATATATAATCACAAAATCACAAAGTTAATAATCAGATTTTATTAAACAAAGTTATCATAAATAAACATGCATTATGCATAATATGTTTTAATCATATTTTTAATAAATACATAATATATAATTATGATTTAACCAATTTATGATAAATAAGCATATATTGTTCATAACAGATAATAATCACATGTAATTTAATCTCTTTTATACATAAAAGATAGTAATCACATGTGATTAATAACAAAGTGTTTATCATGTCTAATACACACAAGGAAACCAAATCACAAGTGAGTAGCATATGTGTTTGGTTAAACCTTTTAGAGTATTTATATTTTAATCAAATCATATTTTTAATATACCTTTTTCAACAGTCATTTTTGTTGTCTCTTGTATGTTTCCCCTTTTTGCTGTTAGTTTGGTGAATTTTTTTGTATTAGTTGTTGTCTCTGTATTGTTTTCTTTATGCATAAATACAATCAATGTTAGATATTCGCATATGATTGTTTATAATAGACAATAATCACATGTGATTAACCGCTAATATTGTTTTTTTATGTATATAATCATATGTGATTTAATTTCTATAAATCCATTTGGAGATTATAACATCAACAAATCATACATAAGAATTTATCATCAAATCACATGTGATTATAACATATGTAACAAGAGGATTTCTCTCGGTCTAAAGAAAAATGCTTTTGCTTCTTTTTTTTTTTTTAAATTCTTTCAACTCTAAAATTTAATAGAATGTGTTCAAAAAAGGAAGTGTTTTTCGAGGAGATCCTTAAAAATGTGTTCAAAAAAGGAAGTGTTTTTCGAGGAGGACCAAAAGGATGTTCCGTTTACATTCCCAAAATTGTTAAAAAACAAGAATCAAAATCCTCTTGTTGCTTTAGATATCTATCAGAATCATGAATAATAGAATACTAGATTGAGAAAATAATCGTAAAATCGAGTGTGATTTAGCAAAAAAACTTCAGTAAATTGTTCGATGTCGAAAACTAAGGTTTGATTTAAATTTTTTTTGAATAATGTCGATTTCCAGTATATTGATGAAACCAACAGTAGAAAATCGTTTTGATACCTTTCGATGAAGCTTTTGATGGCATTTTGTCTGATTTTGACGACATTTTCTTCATTTTCGTTGAAAATCGTTGAAAATCGATGAAATGAGGGTTTCCAGTTCAGAGAATTTAGGGTTTTTTTTTTTTTGTAAATCGAGGATTCCGACAATGTATGTATGCACGATTCAGTTTATATTCCTTTTTATGATTATACCCACTTATTTTTAAAATGTGATATGTTTGGAACCAATTGTTAAGTTATTTACAATTATGCCACCCTGGAAAATTAAAATGTAACTTTTGTTCTCAAATGTTCTCGCGGGAAAAAATTTCTCGATTAAACCCTCCCATATATATATATATATATATATATATATATATATATATATATATATATATATATATACATAAAGGTTCAAATGAGAACGTCAATTTCAGTATTTCTATTATATAAAACATAAGAAGAATGTTTTACATAGACGTAGCGGGTAAACAAGCAACAAGTTGTGCCGCAACCCCTTTTTGGATGACAAAACTAATTGCTTTAAAAACAACATCTATAGATCTTGGAGTCATAACATTATTATGCATGACCCGTTGGACTCTATTGAGTAACTCCACAGCTTCTGGCGCAAGGAAACCGAAAGTATCAAATGCAAAGGGTATAAACATGTGTTGATTTTCCATGCACGCTTTCTCATGTTTTGCCACTTTGCTTGATGCAGCTTTTAAAGCAGCTTGCCCCATAGTGAAAACCCTACTCCACAGGCCCACAAGAGGGGAAACCCCTGTTAGATCCACACATGCAAGTTTTCCTCCAACCCATCCAAATACTAAAACATCCGCTGGTATAAGTGTTAGTCTTCCTTCCAATAGGTCAGTCAAAAATGTCAAAAAATTCACAGGTGCCTCTTTCTTAGCGGAAACCCCAGCACGCCTAAATATGTCAAAAAGAACATCCCTAACCAGATTGTGTCGGTACTTGAAAGCCGGGAGCTCTATAAAATGAACGACATGCTCCCCAAAGGAGTCTAAGCATGCCTTACGACAAACAGGGCAAGTCTCGTCAGCCAGAAATAAAGGGATCATAAGGCGATACTTGAGGATGGCA